TTTTTTTTTTTGGTACCCGGGATCGAACTCAGGTCCTTGTGCTTGTGTAGCAGGAGGTGAAACCACTGAGCTAAATCCCCTGGCCCTTGCAAAGTAATATTTTATGAGTTTGGGAATGAGAACAATTTCCCGAGGACAATCAGATTTTCAGAGGAAAAGGCTGAAATACTTGACTACACAGAAGTACAAATTTTTGCTGAGTGTGGTAGCACGTGCCTGTAATCCTAGCACTGAGGAGGCTGAAGCAGGATTGTTGTGAGTTGAGGCCAGCCTGGGATACACAGTGAGTTCAAGACCAAGTCTTCAAAAAATGTTTTTTATTTCAAGCAAAATAAAGTCACCATTATAAAATGAACAACAGGCAAAAAACTACTCTCAATAAATTGATGAATTAGTATCCTAAATGTATACAGTGATCATACAAGTAAATGATAAATACTAAGAACCTGAAAAGTGCACAAAAGACTCAAATAGGTAATATACAGAAGAGAAAAACAGATACTACAAAGATGTGATCAGCAAAGGCATTGCCCTTAAAATAACTTGCTCTGTTTGAAGTAAGACTCTTCCGGTTGCAATAGTCCTCCTGACACAGGCGTGGTGAGTGGGTACGCAGAGTCTGGAGCGGGAAGTGGAATTGCTCACCCTTCCTGGGAATTGACCTAGCAGTAGGCCAATTGTCCAAAGCTCCCCAAGTGTCTTATCCACGCTGGCCTGGGAAGGCCACCCCTGGGACTCCCCTGTGGAAACAGGCTTCGGCTAGGACCTGGTTTGTGCAAAGATATTCACCTTCTGTATCACTTTCAAAGCAAAAGAGCTGGAAATAACCAAGTGTCCTGGGGTAGGAAATGTACTGAATTATGGCTGCAGCGCAGGCGCTTGACAGTTCTGCAAAGTGGGTTTGTTGAGACGGAAGAGGCCCCCAAACAGGGTAAGGAAAGAAGCGGAATATGCTCTGTTCCACAGCAGTCTGAGTGATTGATTGATGATTGACGATTGATTGATACTAGGGATGAAACCCAGGGCCCCCGAAGCAAAGGGCATCAGGACCAGAGGCGGCCAGGCCCCTGCCCCAGGCCAGCGCCCCCTGAAGACTCTGCAGGAGCACAGCGGTGCCCACCCTCGGAGCCCCTGAGCTGCAGAGCTGGCCATGTGCACGCCGCTGGGCCTGCCGGGTGGCTCAGCTCTGCCTCCAGGAGGCTGTGCATGCGGGGGCCAGGCCAGGCCAGGCCGACTCCTGTCACCGCAGCCCCGAGGACACTCCCTGATCTGCCTCCAAATGCCTCCCAGATTACGACGAGTGCGAAAGGATGGAGGATGACTGCGTGCCGGGGGCCGCCTGCCGCAACATCCTGGGGTCTTTCACCTGCAGCTGCGAGGGTGGAGCCCCCGACTCCCACGTGGAGTATTCTGGAAGAGCCTGTGTGGGTAAGTCTCCTAATTCCGGAGGGGGTGTCTTGCAGCCCCCTTTCTTTTTTTTGAAACAGGGTCTTGCTGTGCAGTTCAGCCTGGCCTTAAATTCATTACGTAGCCCAGGCTGGCCTTGAACTTGCAGCATCCTCGTGCCTCAGCCTCCCCAGTGCTGGGATGACAGATATGCACCACCATGCCCGGCCTGGCGCTGGTCTTTAGGGTGGTTCCGTGGGCAGGCTGTGGTGGGCGTTTGAGGGAGAACAGAGCGGGTGAAGGTGGGCAAGGTCCAAACATGCGGCTGGGCTGGCTGACTTTTGGGAGCCTTCGGGAGAGTGGCTGAGAGTGGAATCGGGCTGCAGGGGCCAGGGTGGGTTGGGGGCCGCTGTGGGGCAGGAGCAGCTCTGCTCTGTGTGAAGAAATGAGGAGGCAGCGGCCCAGCCTGGGCGAGCGGGAGGAAGGAGGCATCTGCGGTGTGCATGGGGTGGGGGTGGGGCACTGCAAACAGCCAGACGGACACCGGGAGCCTTCACAGGCCCTTCTGGGGCACCAAGGAAGGACAGCAGGGCAGAGGCGTGGGCCCAGGCCCGGCTGGGGGCCCCACTGTACAGATGAGCCTTGGGCCTCACAGGGCCCTGTCCCACCATGCGGCCCTGCACCTCCTCCCTCCTTTGGCGCCCGGGACCCACAGCACCTGTGCCTCTGTCTCCTCTGCCCCGCAGGTGGCTCTGCTGACAGCTCCACTCTGACCCCGGGCCCAGAGCAGCGCCCGACCAGGGCGGGAACCTCGGCTGCCCTCCTGCCAGACACCAGCCCCGTGGCCCAGGGCCCCCCGCCGCGGCTGACCCTCACGGATGCGGTCAGGGTGCTGTGCGAGGTCGAGCGGGTGGCCATCGCCATCCAGAAGCGCTTCCTGTGGCAGGAGGCCATCCCTGAGGCCTCCCTGTACCTGGGGCAGCCGGCCTGCAACGTGAGCCTCAGCAACGCCTCCCACGTGCTCCTGGCGGTCAGCTGGGCCGAGTGTGGGACCCTCGTGCAGAGTGTAAGGCCCAGCGGGGCACTCCTGGTTCAGGGGCATGAGCCACGGGAGCCAGGCCTCTGATGCCAGGCAGGTGCCCAGCCGAGGGCATGGGGTGGACCCAGGTCTCAGCCTGCACTGAGTCAGGAGGGAGGCGGAGGGCCCGGGGTGGGCCTGAGTCAGGTTCCAGCGATGCCCCTTCAAGGGCAGAGTGGGAATGCAGAGGGGAGCAGGATCCCCGCAGTCACGTGAATGTGATGGGTATGGGGTGAGTTCCCATGTCAGCACATGTCTGTGTGTTTACACGAGTGTGTGTACGTGAATGAGTGACATAGGTCTATGCACATGTGTGAAACACATGAGTGTATGTGTGTGTTAGCTTTCTGTCACTGTGGGAAAATATCTGAGATAACCCAGTTAAAGGAAGAAGTTTATTGAGCCAGAGTCTCATTGTGTAGCTCAGGCTGGCCTTGAACTCTCAGCGATCCTCCTGCCTCTGCCTCTGCCTCCCAAGTGCTGGGATGACAGGTGTGTGCCGCACGCCTGGCTGGGAGGAAAGGCCTACCTCCGCTCCTGGTTTCAGGGCTTTCAGTCTGTGCCTGGCCCGGTTGCCCAGCCTTTGGTATGTGGGCCTCAGGGGGCCTCCAGACAGAGACCACAGCGAGGTGTGTGGGTGAGGGACCAAAGGTATGTGTGCTCATGTGAGTCTGCATGAGTGTGCAGTGCCTGTGTGTGCATATGGGTCTGAATATATTTGTGAGTGTGAATGCACTGTGTGAGTTTGCAAATCTGGCAACAGATGTGTATGTGTGAATATAAGGCATAATTTACATGTGTGAGTGTGTGCATGTGCAAATGTGAGTGTCCATGCATGTATTATTACATGGCTGTGTGTGGGAGCATACACGTGAATGTGAATATGTGTATGTGCGTACCTGTGAAAATGTGTGTATGTATGAGTTAGATGTGTGAATTTGCCTATCTGTGTGGAGTGTGTATGTAGCGTTTTCCATACATGTGTGTGTGCATGTGAGTGTGAGTGTGAGTGTGAGTGTCTTCTTAATGAGTGTGTGTGCATGTTCACACGCATGTGTGAGCAGTGGGAGTTCAGTGTGGTTCCGGCAGGGGGCAGTCCACAGGTGGGGTGCAGGGTCTGCTGTTGGGGGGCACCAAGGGCAGAGTCCCGGTCAGGGGCTGGGGCTGGAAGGCTCAGGCCAAGAGGGCCCAGTTCCTGGTGGTGGGGCAGGAACTCAGCAGGCCTGGGCTTTGTCCCCAGCACCGTCTGAGCCCCAAGGCCCAGGGGGCTGGCTGTTCTGCAGGCACCGTGAGCTCCGGTCCCTAGCGCCCCGAGGCTGGGCACTGGGAGACACGTTTAGGTCGAGACCCGAGTCAAGGCTATGGCTATGGCTATGGCCGGCTGCTGTTGGCTGGGGTTTGTAGAACATGCTTGGGTGCTGAAAACAGGGTTCTGGGAGGCTGAGACCAGCCTGGACAACTCGGTGACTTAGCAAGACTCTATCTCCAAATAAAACATAAAAAGCACTGAGGATATAACTGGGTTCAACCTGTAGTACTGAGAAAAAAAAGCTGGAAGGCAGGAGTCCCCTGCTGTGTTCAGGAGCCCCCCCCTGCACACCGGGCTGCTCCCCTGAGGACAGCATGGGGCTGCACACGGAGGCTGCCGGCAGCTCTCTCCTCCCCCTTCCCCGGGCCAGGCAGACACCTGCTCTGGCGCTGAGCTTGGCAGGGTTGGAAAGGGAACAGGATTCAGTGCGTGGCCCAGCCCGGGACCCACTGGGGCATTATTCAAAGCCAGGATGGCCTGAGGGTTGCTTGCGGAGCCGAAGCAGGACGCGTGGTCAGCAGCTCTGCAGCCTTCTGGTCCACGGCACGCGGCTGACAGCAGCCGCCGGAGTGCGCGCTGTCTCTGCCAGTTCACACGAGCCGATGGCTGTCAGGGTCCTCACACCCGAGGTTGAGCTGCGGAAGCCCCGTGCCCACCCCCGGCTCACTCGCCTCCTGTCTGTGTCCAGAACAAGACCAGCACGGTGGTGAAGACGGTCCTGAGGAACGACCAGTCCCCGGACGGCGTCATCCACCACCCGACCATCCTGAGCCCCATCCGCTGCGTCTTCCGGAACGACCTCCTGACGTCCCTGGGCTACACCCCGAAGTGGGGGTGAGGGGCGGCGCCTGGCTCTCCACGCCGGGTGCCTTTATGTGGGGACGGGGTCTTCGGGGTTTGCACCGCTGCAGGCCCCGCCTTGAGGCCACACGCGTGGACCAGATCCACGCAGAACTGCCAGCTTCGCTAGTCACTGTCCCAGTGCCCGTTCCCCGAAGGTCCCCGCTGATCTCCACACTTCTCTGGGTTGCTTTCGGGGAGGAGTGGGAGGCAGGGGCTGCGGAACAAACCTCCTGGCCGCCGCTCCCCCGCAGGGTTCCCTCCCTCGTGGAAGACCTGCACGGCGCGGGCACGTTTGTCACCGAAATGCAGCTGTTCGTGGGAGACTCTCCCATCCCTCAGAATCACAGCGTGTCCGCCAGCGACGACGTCAAGATCCAAGTGGGGCTGGACGGGCAGAACAGCCTCAAGGTGGTGCTGATGGAGTGCTGGGCCACGCCCTCCAGCGACGCCCGGGACCCCGTCACCTTCGGCTTCATCAACAACAGGTGGGCGCAGGCGGGCTCCGGCCACTTCCGGCTCCCCTGGCGGAGGCTGACACGCACCTGTCTCCTCTCGCAGCTGCCCCATCCCCAACACCCACACCAGGGTGATCCAGAACGGTGACTCCAGCAAGGCCCAGTTTAAACTGAGAATCTTCTCCTTCATCAACAACTCCATTGTCTACCTGCACTGCAAGCTGCGTGTCTGCATGGAGTCCCCTGGCACCACGTGCAAAATTGTGAGTGTCTGGCCCTGAGGGAGAGGAAGCTGCTGTTCCTGGGAGCCAGGGCACGGTGTGCGAGGTCTGGTCACCAAGGCGGGACCAGTGAGAGCCCTGCAGGCCTCTGCCAGTCCGATCTTGGTGCAGGTCGCCACTGGTCCCTTCAGGACAGGCGTCGGGTTAGCTCTGGGCTGCTGTGACTCAGCCCTGGACAGGGTGGCACCACTGCAGAAACTGACTCACAAGGTCCAGGTGCTGGCGGGGCTGGGTCCTCCTGAGACCCTGCGGGATACTGGCCCGGGCCTCTCCCTGGCCTGGTGTCCTCAGCCATCTTGGCTTGATGTTCCCTCTGTGTCTTCTCATCTTGGGTCTCTGCGTCCGTCCGGATTCCCCTTTTATAAGGACCCAGCTGCGCAGCGTTAGAGCAGCCCATGTGGCCTCGTCCTAACTCGACCACCTTCCCAAGCACAAGCACCATCGCAGGTGTAAGGTTAGGGTGCCAACGTCTCCCTGGAGGACCCAGGGTCACCCGTGGCAGGGACACTGGGTAGTGGACAGAGCAGGTGGCCGCTCTGCAGGGCAGAGGCGACAGGAGTTGCGCTACAGGAGTGGCCGTGGTGGCCTTTGGAGAAGCCGAGCTGGGGTGTGGTCCCCAGGCAGGAGCAAAGGGCCAGCGGCCTCCGCTCGGAGCTCTGTGCTTGCCGCCCCCCAATCCCCTGGGGCTGTCCCGGTGCTCCTGCTCCCCTACTTCATTGTGACACCCCGAGCACAGACTCACCCTCCTCAGACGGACACCACCCCGACAGTGAGTTCGCCCCTGTCCCAAGAGGCTGCATGGCCAACTTGAAATCACCTTCCTTTCCAACCAACCCACAGAACTGCAATGACTTCCGTTTTCTGAAAAGCAACCAGGGCTCAGCGGTGCTGCAGGCCACCTGGGGACCCCTCTTTCGCTCGGACGGTGAGTCCACACCTGGGGTTCAGACAGCAAAGAGAGTCCGCCTGCTGGGTGCAAACCAAGCCGTTGCTTCAATATGTGGAATTGCAGACTTCCCTAAAAGACTCAGGACAGTGGGAAGAACAGGGGCTGGATGCTGCGTGAGAGTGAGATCAGCCAGCGGGGTGCCAAGTCCTCCTAGCAGGGGCATAACTCCTTCCTCCAGGCGGTCTGCCTGAAGTGGGTCTGTCGTGGTCCTGTGCTGCCCAGGGAAGCTGGGCTCGGAGAGCCAGGTGAGGGTGAATAACGTGAAGTTTGGAGAGGGGCCACAAGAAGCCACGCGAGTTCCTGTCCCCTGGTAAACATCCCGTGGGTGTGCAGAGGAAGGGGCTCAGGCTGTGAACAGGGGACAGGCTGTGTCACGCTCTTTGTGTGTGTGCAAGTGTGCATGAACATGAAAAGCTGTTTTATTCCGAAGATGCAGAAGAAGGCATTTTGTCCCCCCTCCACAAAGTTTCCATCAGCCAATTATGTCCCGTGTTCTTTTTGATGTGATTGCTCTGATTATTTTGAAAAAGAAAAGGTTTGGGAATTGTATGCCTTGGGTACCAAGAGGCTGCTAGATGCCCCCACTTTCTGTCCCCCTGGACAGTGGGAGCCCCTGGGCTTTAGCGGCCAGAGATAAAAGCAGATTCTCAACCTACGTGGCAACTTGGTGTGGCCCAGGCTCAGTTCTGGCCAGTGAGGGGCATGGGGCGGCATGGCCACTCAAGGGGACCCCCTTCAAGCCACCTGGTGCCCCCTGCTCCTCCCATCCCCCTCCTTCAGCCCAGCATGAAGAGGAGGTGGCCAGCAGCTGTTGGGGAGCCCGAGCACTCCTAGGCATGGGGGCCAGCGGGGGTACTGAGGGTACCGTGGGCTCTGCCCCCAATTTCTATGCCAGACACAAACTCCCCTTGCATTTAAGCCACTGTTATTTTGGTTTCTTTCTTGCTGCTGAGGCTAATCGTGGCTGGTTTCCCTTCATTGCTGCTCCCCCTAACCTTGATGATGCTCTTCCACGCCCCTCTCTGGGGTCTGGCTTCAGGGTCGGGGGGTGTGAGCCTTGTGTGGGAGCTGGCAGGACATGGAAAGGGCACGAGGAGGTGGAGAGTGGCCAGCGTTGCTCAACTGCCTGTCCTCACCCCAAGCATTTGAGAAATGAATAAACAGGCACACACACTAAGCTCGCTCTTTGGAGTCGTGGGGGCCGCGGGTGCGGGCTGGCTGGGCTCTGGGACAACACGCTTTTTCTCTCTTCCTCTCCTCAAATTGCTAGGGAGACCAGGCCAGGCCAGGATCAGACAAGGAAGAGTGTGTGCCCTCGCATGCCCAGAGACTGGCCCTTGCATCCATCACGAGGCTGCCTTAACCCGGGCATGGGAAGCCCTGGGCTGGGGTCAGGACACGGGTGGACCGCGGGCTGTGGCCATGAGCTGTGTGGTTCAGTGTCTCTGTCACCCGCAGGTGTGTACCCACGTGCAAAGCCACACGTCGGGGCCGGCTACGTGACCCTCACCGTGGTCGCTGCCTTGGCCCTGGTGGCGGGGGCCGTGACCCTTCTGATCCTGCGCTACCAGAGATCCACCGGGAAGTACAGCTTCAGGATGCAGCCGGGCAGCTTCGGCTACCAGGTGTTCTCCGGATAGGAGGCCCAGCTGCCTGAGGTGGGTGAAGAGGGGTCTCTGCCTGGGTCCCCCATGCCCTGGGGGATGGCCGGGGGGCTCGTGAGGGGTAGATCTGTCTGTGTCGCAGTGGAGAGGCGTCCTTCCTCTGAAGAAGCAGCCCTGATTCGCCCAGGGACACAAAGGACCTGCAGAGCAGCCTCGAGTGGTGCAGGGTCCCATTTCTCCCCTGGGTCCTGAAATCTCTCCTCAGAGGGCATGGATGGTCCTTCCTGTCCCAGATGCTGAGCTGTGTCCACTGGGTGGCGCCCTGCTCTCCCTGGCATGGATGATTTAAACACAGATGCGTTTCCATCTGCCCGGTGGACTCTTGAGGGGCAGGGTCCTGAGCACAGCAGGTGACTCTGGAAGGCACTGCTTGTGGGTAGCCCACGTGCATCTGCCTTGTCCTCAACTGTAGATGACCCGGGATGCAGAATGCAGCGGAAATGCTATGTGAACCACTGTTGCACTGCAGTGTTTAGGGAACAGTGAACAAAAAGCCTGTACCTGTTTGCTGCAGACACACTTTTTAAAGAACATGCTCCCTCCACAGTTGGGGTCCTGAGGACAGCGAGAGCCCATTCTATGTCCTGCTCAGTTACTTCCCTTGTTGCTGGGACAAAATACCTAACACCCGCAGCTTCCAGCAGGAGGAGTTCATTTGGCTCACAGTCTGTGGAGGGTTCAGTCCATAGTCCAGTGGCTCCGAGGCAGGCAGCATGGCAGAGGTGCCTGGCGGAGGAGAGCTGCTCACCTCACGGTGTCCAGGAAGCAGCAAGAGAAGGGAGGAGCCCGGGGGGGGGTGCAAGTCCAGGCCCCTCCTCCCAGCAGCCCCCGCCTCCCAGCAGAGCATTCAGGTATCAACTCCTCAGTGGACCAATCACTGATGAGCATCACACCCCGTGATCCAATCACTTCCCAAAGGCCCACATGAGCGCATGAGGCTTTGAGAGACAGCCAGATGTGAACGTGACAATGCTGTCTCCTGTCCCATGAGCAAACTGACCCAGGCGACCTTTTCCACGCAGGTAACCACGAGTCAAGCTCGGATCCCAACTTGTGAAGCATTAACCGAGTCGCCTCTGTGCTGCTCTTTGTGGCAGCACGCAGATGAGCCCCAGAGTGGCGGAGCGGCCTCCGTCTGTCCCCCGGGGCCGCTGCCCTGCAGCTTCCAGACCAGCAGCACCTGCCAGGCAGGGGACAGGATTATGGGGATGTAGGCAGAGTGCCAGGTGTGCTGGATCCTCAAACCCAGCACAAATGCTGCTCCTGTCACCCAAGCCACCCGCACATCTGTCACCAGACCCTCGCCCTCCAGCCCGGTCCACAAGAGCCTCGATCATTGACAGCCAGGGCCCAACACTTGTCAATTACGAAGTGTTTCACATTTTAAACGGTCAATGATGTGAAGCTCTTTTACAAATAGGTCTGTCTCATGAAGCCCTCATTGCTAACATTATTTTTAGGAGCTGCATATGATAATAGAATTGATCGATTATGTAACCAAAATGTCCAAAGGTATGGTGTTCTTCAGGAAAGGTTTGATCCAGCAATGTCACTGCGACCAAGTCATTATTTTATCTTGCATTACCAGTTTGTTGTTTTTATTTACACAACAGCAGCAGAAAAGAGTTTAGTGATATGAAAATCTTTCTAATAAGTAAAAATACCATGACATGTAGACATTACTCTCCTATGTTCCCAGACATGCTCACAGCCATTTTTTTCATACTATCCGACCACTGGGGAAGCTGTGATTTACCCATTGCCATGAGAAATGAGAAAGGGGGTAGATGAATTACATATGTAAAGTCATATAATGAATGAATGAGGAAATGGATCTAGAATATAACTATTTTAGTCTAGAATTTTCTCCATTGCACCATACTAGGAGATACTGCTTTTTACTTTATTTGAAACAAATTAAAATTGATTAGAGAGCTAATATCTAAAAGTATGGCGTTGCCCCTCGATGAACTTAGAATCGTAACAGGATATTAGTTTTTAATTCATAAGATTCATTCTGTTGGATGTAATTAACTGTCACTCATACAGAATATTTGGGAAAAGGAGTATTTTGATTAACTGGATATTCTCAGAGTCTGAATGACGATATGTAATATGTGTAGGTAACCGATTTTGAGCAAGCGAATAAAGTGCATGTGACACTGAAAAGTGACCGGCTGTGCTGGCTTCTCTGCGTAGTTCAGTTCACACCGAAGGCTCCAGGGAGCACCTGCCCTGGGGGAGGGAGTTGTGTGGTCCTTCCGGAGCCGCGCCTGTCTGTCCTGACTCAGCTCGGTGCTTTTCCCGAAAAACAAACAGGAAGTGTTCAGAACACCAGCTGGTGAGGCCCCCGGCTGGGAAGCCCTTGGGTTTCAGATAAAGAAGCTAGCTTGTGTTTTTAAACTGAATCTTTCAAACTTCCGCTCAGTCAGCCGGCCGCATCCATTCATTTGTGTTTTATGTAACAATGGAAGCTTGGTTTCCCTCTTCCTACCGCCCGCCCTCGGCTCCTTCTTGATGAGCCTTTCCTGATCAGCTGCGGGTGGCCAGGCCAGAGCTCGGAGCTTGGACAACGCGTGGGAGAGGAAGACTGAGCCCCGCCCCCAAGGAGAGTCGGTCTCGCGGGGGGAGGGGACATTCACAGCAGCAGGCGAGAGAGCCAAGGCCAGTGCCGGGGGAGCGTAGCGGACATATGCTGTGAGTTGTCCCTGATCTGGTCCGTGAGTCCGTGCGTCCGTCCATCCGTCCATCCATCCATCCATCCTTTCACCCATCTATCCACACATCCACTCATCCACTCGACCATTCGTCCACAGTCCTGCTTGGATCTGGACCACAGGGTGTGGCTCACTCTACAGTGGAAGCCCTGATGAAGTGGAGGCTCTGACGGAAGTGGGGATCTGGCGGACCGGAAGGTCAAGTGCCCCTGGAGAAGCACTGGGCCTTTCCGCAAACCCTCTGGTCCAGGCTGCATCCCTCCAAATGGCCGCTAGACGGCGCCCAAATCCACGTCTGCGTCCAGGGCGGCGCTGGGCCTCTTGTGAGGCTGCTGCAGCCGCAGCCCGGCGCGCTCCTCTCTGCTCTTTTTCTCCGGATCTGCGCCTCTGGCCCACAGGTGAGGGTGGATCTGGATCAGCCGCAGTCCTGGGGCTGCGTCTGCGGTGGGGGCTCAGGAGGGGCGCGGGGCCCCGGGCTGGCGTCCTGGGAGGCCGAGTCAGGGCGAGTGTGCTTGGGCAGCCCCAACCCCAAAGTCCAGGCTGCTTCCAGGTCCAGCACCCGTGTAACCTTTCCTTGATTAGCACTGGGAACTGACTCTGAGCCACAAGCCCAGCCGTTTTCACTTTGAGCTGAGTCTCACGAAGTAGTTATATTGGCCGGGCTAGTCTTGAGCTTGTGATCCTCCTGCCTCAGCCTCCCAGAGTGCTGGGACTATAGCTGTGCCCCGCCGCACTTGGCTCGAGATCCACAACTTTTGAGTGCCAACGTGACACCGCCTGTGGAAACCCACCAGACCTCTGTGCCGGGCCACGGCGGATAGTGTACAGAATGACCTCAGGCTCCGTGCGGAAGGTATTTGGGAAATCCGTGGGTCTCCTGTTTAGACTTGGTCTCATCCCCGTGTATCTCATTATGTAGATGCAAGCATTCCAACCTGAGAAGCCCCAATCCTAAAGCTCCTCCGGTCCCAAGCGTTGGGGCTAAGGGCTGCTCCACCTGTGGCTTTAGGAGCGATGCTTCAGAAATTATTGTAGAGCTCTTGGGAAAGCCACACTCTCTCGGTTTCCTTCCTGCTGTTCTCAATCCTCAAACGGAGACCAGAAATCCCACAGCCCCCAGCAAATGGGTGGAGGAAGAGGCAGGAGGGTGTCAGGGGCCAGGACCCCTCCGTGCTCCCAGGGGCGGACAGCCGGGCCGTGGGGACTGGGGACCAGGGCTGGAATTGCAATGCTCCCGTCTCAGCCTCCCAGGGTCACCAGGCCCGGCTGGAAGGCAGCCTAACTGTGGCCAGGGAAACCGTGCACGGGGAGCTCTGCCTCAGGGCTAGGGAGTAGGAGGGCCCCCTGGTTCTGTGGGGCTGGGGCCAAGCGCTGAACCGGACTTGGGCCACTGGGCGTGGCTTCCGGGCCTTGCTGGTCTGCACAGAGGCACAATCCATGTCGCGTTGCAGCGACACTCTTGGCAGGACTCCAGCACGTCGTCTGCCGGATCCCAGACCTTCCCAGGCAGCAGCACCCGGAGGGGGAGTGGGGAGGGGCTGTGGTCCTGCGGGTTCCAGGACCAGCCTTCGTGCGCCCGACCTTAGGAAGCACCCCTGCCCCATCGCCCTGAGCGAGACTGGAATCTTCTCCGCAGAGTGGATCGCAATTCCAGGTGGATCCTTGGTGGTTCGGGGACAGGTGTGCGTGGATTTTACTCCCTGTAGGGGACAAGGAGGTCCATCCTGTAGGTGCGGGTGCCCGGCTCCTCGGAGCCGCCTCTAGAGGGCGCTGTGTGCAAGCCACACCGGTACTCGGAATCCTCAAGACGGTTGTTACTGTCTTTATTTAAAGTGAGTAAAGCCAGGAGGTCACAAGGGTCCCCGTGCGTGACGGCCTGACGGTAACCATCACAGAAGACTGCCGGAGCCAAAGCCCGACAGAGGCCAGCGCAGCCTCCTGTGAGATCGTCTGCCCAGCAACTGCCGGTCCAATCTTGGCTGGACACCACTCTTGTATTATTGATCCTCGTGGCCAAGGATTATTGTTTCAAGAGATCAGATGTGGTCTTCTCGGTTGCCTTTAAAAATCCCCCCTTGCCTCGACCTTCTTGGATACTCTCGTAGTTGCTGTGCTCCCTTGGAGTGCCCAGACAGATGTCATTGTCCTTTGGAGGCTGCCTCTCTTCCCAGACTGACAGTGGTACAGTTGAACACCTACGATGTCCACAGCAAAGATGAGGAGATGCACAGCCTGGGCCCAGGGCAGGGAGCTTGGGAGGCAGGAAGCCAGCTCGAAGGTCACAGGATGGTCAGGAACCCGGGGCTGGCACAGTCGAGGGGACAGCGGGTGCTCCAGGCCCCAGAGTGTGTCCAGTGTCGGCTGTGGTGGCAGACCCTGGCAATGGCCCCTCCACGTGGCTAGGTGTCCCCTGCTGAGTTCTGATCCCACCCACTTGGATCCAAGTCCACTTGGAGGACTGGTGACTGAGGCTTCTCTCCCTGACTCCTCCCTCGGGGACATCGGGGCTCCTCCTCCTGTCTCCCTGGATCTGCCTGAATGTCCCTTATGCTGGACAGGGAGTGGGTCCGAGAGGTGAGCTCAGAGTGGGGAGGGGAGGAGTAGAAGCTGAGGTGCCCCGTGGGCGCCTCCCTGGGTGAACTCTGTCCACCATCTGTACCTCCTCTGCAGGGCCCAGAGGGAGGAGGAGGAAGTGCACCCAGGTGCGGTGGCCCCCGGGGGAGGGGGCATAAAACGCCCGTCTTGCTTACTATCCAGGAGTTTCTGGCAGGGACAGATGCCCGTGCCCCCACCCCTGGCCTGGCCTCTGGGCCCCAGTGGCAGCTGCACCTGCCCAGTCCCCTCCTTCCCCCCACCAGGTACCTGGAGGCTCCTCCTACCACCTGGGCCCCACCTGGCACCTTGCCCTGGGCGACTCCCAGGACCCTTGGTTTCCCCACAGCCCAGGAAAGGGGCCCTTTCTGCCCTGCCGCTCAGGGTGAAGGGAGCCACACCCCCAGAAGGCTTTGGAGTCCCCGTAGACAAACAAAGGTGCACACACACGGAGCAGCCCTGCTGGCCTGGGGCCATGGCGGGGCGGGACCCAGCAGGCTTGGTGGCCACATCTGCCAGGGACAATGCACAGTGCGCCATGTCCTGCAGAGGCGGGGGTCGCAGCCAGTGCTGCCTGGGGGAGGAGGCCTTTGTCCTCCAGGGTGCTGGTTCTTCACAGACCCTGGCCCTGCCCTGCTGCTCTTAGGGTCTGGGGGGGGCAACCCTGCTGTCGCTGTTCCCAAGGCGCCCCGGTGGCCCTGGTGTCACCTCAGAGCAGGAGCTCGGTGCCCAGACTGGAGAGCTGAGACCTAAACTCCCAGCCCGGAGGATTCGAACCAACACCCTGCTTGCCTGGGCTTCTGAGACAGGGCGCCCCACGTGCCACCCTGGGCTAAAGTGAAGGTGTCGTGGGGCTATGGGCCTGGGCAGCACCTCCAGGCCTCTCCTGGCTTCTCCAGGCTGCCCTCCACTGCCCCTTGGCCCACATTGCAGGACCCCGGGTATCCCGTTGGGCCTGCCAGGATGACCCAGAATGACCTCCCTGCTTTAAGGTCAGCTGATTCACAGTTCATGTCGCATCCACACCCCTGGCCTGGAGAGAACCGTGCACAGCTCGGGGCCCAGGCTGTGGCGGGTTTTGGCTGCGGTGCCGAGTTCAGGTCTGGCCCTCTGCAGCCTTCTGCCCTGCTGAGACCGACTGTGCTGGGCTGGGAGAGCCAGCTACTCGGCTGGTATGAGAGGAAGGATTCACAAACCATACTGAAGTGAGGGAACAGCACTCAAAGCATGTTGCTCTCTAAGTCTTTTATTGTTGTGCATCCTGTTGGGTGGTTGATTTCTGTGGCATCTGAAGTCCTGGCTGAGGGTCACAGCTGAGCGGGTAATATCTGAAAACAGCCACCGCAGCGGGATTTATACTCCGGAAACCGGCATGTGCAGCAAATCAGGGATTAATTGTCTTATTGATCATCCTGGCTTAAGACAGAGATGGGGAAATGTCAGGCTGATGCAGATGAACCTAAAGTGCACTAAGCGGGCAGCTGCCCCATCAGGAGCACCGAAATCTGCCCGGTCACAGCAGAACTGCAGGGACAGTTAGCAAGGCCTACAAAGGCAAGGGCTTGGCAAACATCAACCAAAGTGTTGTGTGTGACTCACTGGTTTCTACGAACTTAGCGTAAAAGCACTGTGCGTTTCAGTATTATTGGTAATTGGATGCCTGATTTAGCTCAATAAAAGTTAGAATGAGGGCCAGGGATTTAGCTCAGTGGTTCCACCACCTGCCTCGCAAGCACAAGGTTCCGAGCTCAATCCCCGGTACCCCCTGTCCAAAAGTTAGAATGAATCAAGGCAGGTAGGTACTATATATGAGGTGCAACGGAAATCTACAAGGAATGTCTAAAT